AACGTGGCACACAATACGTGGAATCAGTAAGAAAAATATGTAAAGATTTTACATTTGAAAATTTTAAAATCGGCATTTAATCACCCCACATTGGAGGGGAGACGATACGGAGAAGATCTAAGCCATGAAAGAAACAGAGTGGATATATAAACCTAAAACCTCGGTACCTTATGGCTTAAATACAGATCTGGATATTTTGGTTTTTATCGATTTGATTCCATTGAGATTTTACTTTTTTCTAATGGTCTTTGTATTGCATAATATTATTTTTATTTTTTATTGAATGTGTCTATTGATCTTATCTGACGTATTAATTTCCTGTCCTTTTCTTCTTACCAGACAATTTGTGATTAGGATATATGATATTTTGGTTTTTGTTATAGTTTCATAGCTGAAAAGAGACTTGCGTCCATCAAGTTCAGCCTTCCTCACATTTGTTTTTTGCTGTTGATCCAAAAAAAGGCCAAAAAAAACCCCAGTTTGAAGCACAATTTTGCAACAAGCTAGGGAAAAAAAATCCTTCTTGACCCCAGAATGGCAATCAGATTTATCCTTGGATCAAGCAGTTATTACCCTACATTGAAAGATTTTATCCTTGAATATTCTGTTTTTGCAAGTCTTCATCTAGTAGCTGTTTGAACATCTGTATGGACTCTGATAAAACCACTTCTTCAGGCAGAGAATTCCACATCCTGATTGTTCCTACAGTTATATTTTCTATATTTTAGAATTTTATATAAATGTGCCTTTTTATACTAATGTGTCTGTTTTAATAGAGTTTAAATAATGTGACTTATCACCCATCTCTGTGAGTTTTTTATGTATTATGAATTTTATGTCCTATGAATTGTTTGTGATATTCCGACTTGTTATTTTTATCCACATAAACTTCACATACACACACATAATTATATAATATTACATTTAGTTAAACTGTGTGAATAGCAAACGGAGGTAATCTCTGACTTACACATGAAAGTCAGATGTCCGGTTTTGCTTATATAAAAAAAGTTTGTTTGCGTTCCAAAGTGGAATGCGCATGTGCGGTTAACGTCAACACTAGCGTGTTAACGTTGCGTCGCCGCGCATGTGCAAACACAGCCCGGCATATTTAAATGCCGAAGAATTAAGAAACATCAAGCGCCTGAGGAAGTCTACAATTAGATGAAACACGTTGAGCAAATCAGCAATCCCAGAAGGACTCCCATTCAGCAGTATTTGAAGACTGGACTCTATTTCCTGACAACCGAGAAGGAAGCTTGAATGAGACTACTAGCTGACTGTTGATTAAGCCTATTTTGAGGCAACAAGCTTTTGTGCACATATTTATTTATTTCAATTGTGCCTCTACTTTTGTGAGTGTTCCCACTTCTTTATATTTTTGTGTATATTAAAGTTTGCACTATGATTTGTTTATCTTTTATATGTGTGTCTGGTCCTCAATTCAACAGTGTTGGTAACTATAACCACCACACATCTTGTGACTGTGGTGCCCTGCACTGTATTTTCACCTGTGTGCTATACAGTTTATTTACACTTGGTTTTATCAGAGGGACTCAGGGAGTGTTTCTCATTTTTCATTGGCTTGCCTGCACTATTTGCACTTTGACATTCTCATTTAAACGTCCTTTTTTGGCTAAACATTAAACTGTGACCCGGCATCCAGGTACTAAAGGTATCAAAATCATTTCAATGAGATGAAGTGGGGGGGAGGAAGAGCAAAAGGGTGATAAATATCAATCCAACTGCCCCCCAAAAGAAGGACAGACGGTGCCTGTAGCAAGTGTGTTAAAAATGATAAGCTTAGAGTCATGTCTACAAATGCTTGCAGTTTAGGAAATAAGATCCATGAACTTGTGGCAATAATGGCAACTGATAATGTAGATTTGGTCGCTGTTACTGAGACATGGTATAATGATAAAAATGACTGGGACTTAGCAATACCAGGGTACTCTTTATATAGAAAAGACAGGGAAGGCAAGAAAGGGGGAGGGGTGGCCTTGTATGCGAAGGATAGCATAAAATCTAGCCTAATAAAAGTTAGTGAGGCAAACATAGAGTCCGTTTGGGTTACGTTAGAATTTGGAAATCACACAGTAACTCGTGTAGGTGTGATTTATAGGCCCCCAGGACAAATTGAAGAGTTAGATAATCTACTAGTTGAGGAAATAGCTAAAATGACAATGAAGGGGGAAGTTATCATCATGGGTAACTTTAATCTTACTGACGTGAATCGGAAAACCAAAATAGCTGCTTGTGCCAGGAGCACACATATTCTAAACTCCCTACTGGGATTGTCTCTAAAACAAGTCGTTGAGGAGCCAACTCGTAAGGAGTGCATACTAGATTTAGTGTTAACAAATGGAGATTTGGTATCAGTTATTACTGTAGGTGAAAGTTTAGAATCCAGTGATCAGTCAGTGTGGTTTAATATAAGAACAGTGACTGGGTCACACCACACAAAAACAAAAGTTTTAGACTTTAGAAAAACAGAGTTTTCTAAAATTAGAATATGTGTAAAGGAGTCATTACCAGACTGGAGCAATTTAAATGGAGTCCAAGAGAAATGGGATTATTTAAAAGTTGCACTGCTGAAGGCAACAGAAAATTGCATTAGGCTTGTCAATAAAAGCAAAAACTTCAAGAAACCACTGTGGTACTCAGCAGATGTGGCCAAAATAGTAAAAGACTAAAAGTTAGCATTTAGTAATTATAAAAACCCAGAGTGAGGAAGACAGAATGATCTATAAGATTAGGCAGAAAGAGGCTAAGCAAGTTATAAGTGCTTCCAAATCACACACAGAAGAGAAAATAGCACAGTCAGTAAAAAAGGGGGATAAAACATTTTTTTTAGATACATAAATGAGAAAAGAAAAGTAAAACAAGGATTAGTTAGATTAAAAACAAAAGAAGGAAGCTATGTAGAAGAGGATAAAGGTCTAGTTGACTGCCTCAATTAATATTTGTGTTCAGTATTTACAGATGAAAATAAAGGAAAGGGACCTCAGTTAGGAAAAAGGACAAATGAGTCATTTGTTACATGTGAGTTTACAGAGTAAGAGATTCTATTTCAACTGTCAAAAGTAAAGACAAGTCAATGGGACCTGATGGAATACACCCAAAGTTATTAAATGAGCTTAGTGGTGTACTAGCAAAACCATTAACAGATTTATTTAACCAATCATTGTTAACAGGAGCAGTCCCAAACGATTGGAAGTTGGCGAATGTTGTGCCCATTCACAAGAAAGGTAGTAGGGGGGAGTCGGGCAACTATACGCCAGTAAGCCTTACTTCAGTAGTGGGAAAAGTAATGTAAACCATGTTAAAGGATAGGATTGTTGAACATCTAAAAACACATAGATTTCAAGATCAGAGACAACATGGGTTTACTTCAGGGCGATCATGCCAAACTGATCTTATTGATTGGGTAACTAAAATAATAGATCAGGGTGGTGAAGTAGACATTGCTTACCTGGATTTCAGTAAGGCTTTTGACACTGTTGCACATAGAAGGCTTATCAATAAACTGCAATCTTTAAGTTTGGATTCCAATATTCCTGAATGGGTAAGGCATTGGCTGAGTGACAGGCAACAGGGGGTTGTAGTCAATGGAGTATATTCGAAGCATGGTCTTGTCACCAGTGGGGTACCTCAGGAATCTGTACTTGGACCCATTCTCTTTAATGTTTTTATTGGTGATATTGCAGAAGGCCTTGATGGTAAGGTTTGTCTTTTTGCTGATGATACTAAGATATGTAACAGGGTTGATGTTCCCTGAGGGATAAGCCAAATGGCAAATGATTTAGGTAAACTAGAAAAATGGTCAGAGTTGTGGCAACTGACATTTAATGTGGATAAGTGCAAGATAATGCATCTTGGACATAAAAACCCAAGGGCAGAGTACAGAATATTTTATATAGTCCTAACTGCAACATCTGAGGAAAGGGATTTAGGGGTGATTATTTCTGATGACTTAAAGGTAGACAGACAATGTAATAGAGCAGTAGAAAATGCTAGCAGAATGCTTTGTTGTATAGAATTGATATTAGCAGTAGAAAGAGGGAAGTGCTCATGCCATTGTACTGAACACTGGTGAGGCCTCACTTGGAGTACTGTAAGCAGAGAGAATTCAGAGAAGTGCTACTAAACTGGTTCATGGATTGCAGGATAAAACTTACAAGGAAAGGTTAAAGGATGTTAACATGTATAGCTTGGAGGAAAGACGAGACGGGGGATATGATAGAAACATTTAAATACATAAAGGGAATCAACACAGTAAAGGAGGAGACTATATTTAAAAGAAGAAAAACTACCACAAGAGGACAGTCTTAAATTAGAAGTGCTTAAAAATAATATCCAGAAGTATTCCTTTACTGAGAGGGTAGTGGATGCATGGAATAGCCTTCCAGCTGAAGTGGTAGAGGTTAACACAGTAAATGAGTTTAAGCATGCGTGGAATATGCATATGCTCTCCTAACTAAAAGATAAGGCCAGGGACTAATGAAAGTATTTTTTTTTTTTTTTTAAATCGGGCAGACTAGATGGGCCGAATGGTTCTGATCTGCCGTCACATTCTATATGGTTATGGCACCTTCAGTGTCCCATTAAATTAAAGAACATTGATTTAGCAGTACATATTCCTTACTATAACTGTTGTGGCAGCACCAGTCAGAATATACATGCAAGCTAACAGGCCTATTTTTCATTTGGAGCAGCCACAAGCCATAGCACCCCTTGTAGGCCAATGCACAATCATGGTAAGAGACAGTCTCACCAATAGGCCAAATAGACAAATACTACCGATCTCATTCAGCCTCCGGGTTCCTCTCAAATAAGGGAGGCTGAGACAGGGGAAGCACCCACTCATAGGTCACTTTAAGGGGATAGTTAATGGGATTAATGTGAGTGAATCTGGGGAATTGTGATTGGAGTGAGATAATTATGGTGCAGGAACTGATGAGTTCTAACTTTGCCTGTGGTCTAACCAAGTCTAGGCCAGTGTTCCCCAACCCAGTCCTCATGGGCCACCAACAGTCCAGGTTTTGTCAGTATCTCCATTGGAATAAAACAGGGACATACATAAATCCTGGACTGTTGGTGGTCCATGAGGACTGGGTTGGGGAACACTGGTCTAGGAGTGCCTCTGATTAAGCTTGAACAGAATAAAACTAAATAAGTAGCAAGGAATTAAAAAGAACTCTCCTATTTACAGAGTCATTCGCTGAATTCAATAGCGAGCATAGAACCATTTACTGAATAAATGGAATGTTAATTTTTATTTCTATTTGACCACTTCATATTGCTCTAATGCACCCAGCAGATTAAATCAGGATGCATTTCACAAATAAACTAAACATATTTAAAGGGTACTTTATATCACAACATTTAACTATAGCTTTTAGAGAGCCAATCCATACAACCATACAGCAGGTTAATGAAATATTCCATGAGGTAACACTTAGGAATAATGAAAGGGAGCAGTAATGGCAACAATAATAATAAAAACAACAACTGCCATAATACATAGGATAAAGTACTCCCTGTGGGGTATAACCAGACTGTTAACGTACTGTATGAAATGACTCTGCTGGCAAATAAACGATCGCTCTGAAGGTCGGGAGATTACATTTTAGACTTTATCAGAAAAACAAAAACTACTTAACTGCACACTAAGGGGATCATTCACAAAACCACTGATTATCTAAGGAAATTGTTCTGTGGGTGAATACATTTGACAGAACATTTGCAATCGCACATTTACTTGCACTGGGTCTGTGCAAGGATTTTATCTTAACCTTAGAAAAAGATACAATTTAAAGCCTCATTCATCTCACTTGAGAAATAAAACGTTATTGGCATATTCTTGCAAGCCTTTCTTTACTCTCACACTTTTCTACTGTCCATAAAATACATATTGTAAAAGGAATACTAAAGAGAAAACAAACAAAACCACATATGTGCACCTTTGCATGGGTTATGGAACAAAGAACTCCACTATCTACATCCCCTCGTTCTGTTGCTTAAAGTTGCAGTGATATAAAATATCACTACAGCTATAACGCCACCCCCTATTCAGATACATTATGCCACCACCCCATCACATGCAATACAAGTTCCAGGGCAGGCCTTACGGGTGTGCGAGCTGTGCGGTCACACAGCCGGCCGGGATTTAAAAAAATAATAATTTGTGGCGGGGGCAGAGCTTCCCGTCCGGCAGGGGCGGAGCTAAGTGCAGGATAACTGCTGCAGGGGAAGCAGGAAGGAGTCCCTGCTTCCCCACCAGTCTCCCAGACCTGCACTACCTCCACAATGAACAGAGGAAACAATCTGATTGTCAGTGTGAGTGTCTGCCTGTCTGACTGTGACTGTCTGCCTCTGTGTGTGTGTATATGACTGTGTGTGCACGCGCGTGCGAGTGGCCCTGTGCGCGAAAAGGCTGTCTGCCAGTGTGCACGCGCGCAAAAAGGCTGTCTGCCTGTGTGCGTGTGACTGCCTGCCTCTGTGTGTGTGAAGGACTTCCTGTGTGTTTGGATGGCCGCCTGCCTGCGTGTGTGTGTGCGTGGCTGACTGCCTGCGTGTGGCTGTCTGCCTGCGTGGCTGTCTGCCTGCGTGTGTGTGTGCATGGCTGTCTGCCTGCGTGTGTGTCTGTGTGCGTGTGTGTGCGTGGCTGTCTGCCTGCGTGTGTGTGTGTGCGTGGCTGTCTGCCTGCGTGTGTGTGTGTGCGTGGCTGTCTGCCTGCGTGTGTGTGTGTGGCTGTCTGCCTGCGTGTGTGTGTGTGTGTGTGTGTGGCTGTCTGCCTGCGTGTGTGTGGCTGTCTGCCTGCGTGTGTGTGGCTGTCTGCCTGCGTGTATGTGTGTGTGGCTGTCTGTGTGTGACGGTCTGCATGTATGTGTGTGTAAGACTGTATGTGTGGCTGTGTGTGTGTGTGTGTAAAACTGTATGTGTGGCTGTGTGTGTGTGGCTGTCTGCCTGTAATTGTGTGTGAGTGTGTTTATCTACCTGTAACTGTGTATGTGTGTTACTGCCTTTACCTGTGTATTTCTGTCTGATCCTGTGCATGTGACTATGTGCATGTGGTGGATTTGACAGTGTCTATGTATAACTGTGGGCATCTGACTGTGTGCACAAAACTCTGCAAAAATAAATATACACCTGCATTCACACACAGGCCTAAATGCATGTTTTTATCTGTTTATCTGAATTAAATAACCATCACACACAGCCAATAAACCCAGCACAAATATCACATACAACCAATACACGCATATCACACACTGTTAATACACCCATTACAAATATCACACACAGCCATCACATAGCATACATAGCACACACAGTCATCACATCTACACAGACAACACAAACATTACATAATACACGGATGACGGGGGGAGGGAGGGGGGAGGATGAACAGTGTGTCTAAAAGCCTAAGGCCGGTCCTGCAAGTACCCATGGCACAAAGAGTACTACTTGTCAAGCCATGAATGGTGTCAAACGCACAAAGCCTCTCTCCCCCACGCTTTCCTCTGCCAGTATACAGTTAAAATTTTGACTTGAGAGGCAAAAGTGAATTTAATAAAGTCAAACAGATATTAATAGTTTAGTAAAAAGAAACACAATGCAATATTATAAGCAGCATAAAACCAGAACTAAAAAGTGCACAAACAACTTGAAAAGAACGTAAACAAAACACACAAATATTTAGCAATTAACCACTTTAGACCAGAGGGCGTACTATTACGCCCTATTTTAGGCGGCTCTAAACGCCGCCGGGCGTAATAGTACGCCCTCCGGTTTTGGTTTTACTTACCCAGTCGCCGGCGAACCCAAGCCGGCGATTGCGGTTGGGGGGACTCCCAGGGACCCCCCCGCGCACATCCGACCTCCTGCAGCCCCCCCGGCCATGTGAGAGTGAGGTCCTTGCGAGGACCTCACAATCAAATGGCCGGGTTAGCTGGCTGCTGCATTGCCAGCAGGGGGACTGCCTGTAATGACAGTTAGTCCCCCTGCTGGCTGAATTCAAATAAAATAATGTTAAAATCAGTGTAAAGTATAAGTATATATATACACACATATACATACACACACATACACGGTCTAGGTGTATTTTACTATTTATTTATTTATATATATATATATATATATATATATATATATATAAAAATATCAAATTACACGTAGACTGATATTGATTATATATATATAATTATTGTTATATATATTTATATATAATATTAAAAAAAAATATGTAAATACGTTAAAAAAATAAAATTAAAAAATTAATAAATATAGATGTTTTATTTCGTTCTAAATGTATTGTGATATTAATATATATATATATATATATATATATTTATATCAAAATACACGTAGAACGAAATATATATATATATCTATATACATATATATCACTATACCTATAAATAAAAATTTTAAAAATACATACATACATATATATATTTATATTAATTCTACATATATATTTATGTAATATTTTTTACATAATTAGGTATCTTCATTAAAGGACCACTCTAGGCACCAAGACCACTTCAGCTTTATGAAGTGGTCTGGGTGCCAGTTACCTCTAGGATTAACCCCTTTTTTTTTTTATAAACATAGCAGTTTCAGAGAAACTGCTATGTTTATACTGAGGGTTAATCCAGCCTCCAGAGCCTCTAGTGGCTGTCTCATTGACAGCCGCTAGAGGCGCTTGCGTGCGTCTCACTGTGAAAATCACAGCGAGAGCACGCAAGCGTCCATAGGAAAGCATTGTAAATGCTTTCCTATGCGACCGACTGAATGCGCGCGTGGCTCCTGCCGCGCATGCGCATTCAGATGATGACGTCGCGAGCAAAGAGGAGAGGAGGAGTACAGCTCCCCGCCCGGCACTGGAGAAAGGTAAGTGTTTAACCCCTTCCTCTCCCCAGAGCCGGGCGGGAGGGGGTCCCTGAGGGTGGGGGCACACTCAGGGCACTATAGTGCCAGGAAAAAGAGTATGTTTTCCTGGCACAATAGTGGTCCTTTAATTACAATTAGCGGGACCTGCCTGACAACCCATGCCGAAAGTAAAGGGAATTTAATTTGCTAGCACTATATTTAACCCTATAACTTTCCAAGACATCATAAAACCTGTACATGGGGGGTACTGTTCTACTCGGGAGACTTCGCTGAACACAAATATTAGTGTTTCAAAACAGTAAAATGTATTACAACGATGATATCGACAGTAAAAGTGAAGTTTTTTGCATTTTTCACGCACAAACAGCACTTACACGGACGATATTATTGCTGCGATACTTTTTACTGTTTTGAAACACAAATATTTGTGTTCAGCGAAGTCTCCCGAGTACAACAGTACCCTCATGTACAGGTTTTATGGTGTTTTCAAAAGTTACAGCGTCAAATATAAGGCTTGTGTTTCATTTTTTTCACATTAAAATTTGCCAGATTGGTTACGTTGCCTTTGAGACCCTATGGTAGCCCAAGAATGAAAATTACCCCTATGATGGCATACCATTTGCAATAGTAGACAACCCAAGGTATTGCAAACTGGGTATGTCCAGTCTTTTTTAGTAGCCACTTAGTCACAAACACTGGGCAAATATTAGTTTTTTGCTTTTTTCACACACAAATACTAACGTTAACTTTGGCCAGTGTTTGTGACCAAATGGCTACTAAAAAAAGACTGGACATACCCCATTTGCAATACCTTGGGTTGCCTACTATTGCAAATGGTATGCCATTATGGGTGTAAATTTCATTCCTGGGCTACTATACAGTCTCAAAGGCAACATAACCTATCTGGCGAATTTCAAATGTAACGTGCTATATTTGACCCTGTAACTTCCCAAAACGCCATAAAACCTGTACATAGGGGGTACTGTTTTACACGTGAGACTTTGCTGAATACAAATATGTGTATTTTATTGCAGTAAAAGCAAACAGTATTATGACATTGACAGTTAAAATGTCATGTAGAACTAAAAAAATCTTATTTTCTCTCATTTGTTTCATATTAAATTATGTTTCATAGCTAAATATTTGATATTAAATGAAAGCCCTGTTTCCCCTGAATAAAATGATATATAAGGGTGGGTGCATTTACTATGAAAGAGGTGAATTAC